ACTGCTAATGAAAACCTATGGAATGATCTTGCAAAATTGAAAATCTCTCAGGTATATAGTTGAAGGCACATTTTTAATACTATCATGCAGCAGAGGTGGTTAAACTACAGTAATCAGAGTAAGAAAATAACGTTAAGTCTTTTTATTATGAGGTAGTCTTGTATTTGAAGGCACCGCAATACAGCGGTGTAGATTCATTTTTTGCTTCTATAAGTCTCACCATTTCTAAAGCCGACTTCTATTTGCTGCCAAGTAACGCTTATAAAACGCATCGTGTTAAAAGAATTTTCATTATTGTTGTTACCTTTCTTACATTTTAGATCCAACATGGAGAGAACCATTCCATCACTGCTGATGTTCAATCAGAGATTTCAAGATTGGTGGAGGAAAATTTGGTAAGATATTTAGAAGACAAAGTGTACCATGTTCTACTCATTTCACTCTTAAAAAATCTTGTGAATTGTAAAAGTTACTGGTCAGTATGCATTTTGTTCATTTCTAGAATTTAAAGTTAGAAAAATTCTTCATTTCTAGGATTTAAAGTTAGAAAAATTCTTCATTTCTAAGATTTAAAGTTAGAAAAATTCTTCATTTATAGCATTTAAAGTTAGAGAAATTCTTCATTTCTAGGATTTAAAGGAACAAATCGAGAAACTCGAAGAGCGATTGAAGAATCAACAACAAAACACGCAAGCTAAAAACGAGCACGAGAATTTCCGCAAGAGAGCAACTTCGTGGAATAAAGGTAAAATGTTGACATTAAATATTGACATGAGGTTTACATGATATATGACACTACTCCCCCCATAAGTAGACCGGTAATTGGGTGCATATTCATATATTTGTGTTCTGCCCGACTGATTTCTTTTGAAAGCGATTGTTTTTGCGGTATGTGAACATGAATATATGAATATACACCCTCCCCCCCCCCCTAATTATCTTGTCTAGCTACGGCCCTGCTTGAAATGTCCCTGTAACAATACGTGACTACCAACTCTCATCAACTCTCATCCTTGTTTGTGTGTAGCTTTTATGTTATGAATTTTCACGCCACTTTTTATGACTCCATTGTTTAGCGTGCTTCGTTGCTATATTGTCAACAATGTTTGGTATGCAAATCGCCATCACATTAATGACCAAAAAAACTTAAGCATTTGTTTCAAAAACAAATTTAAACGTGTCATAAAGATGTCTTTGTTTATGAATCTTGCCAGAAATACTTAAAATAATCCGTTGCTGAAGAACGACAATACACTCTTGTCTTCTATTTCAAGAGTTATTTTACATAAGTATTTCTGAATATCTCGTAGTTAATGTTTCGTTCAATTTGAGATCAACGAGTAAGAGCTTTAAGTTGATTGGTGTAAAACTATATCCACTCCATGGTTTCTGGGTTAATATAAACCTGTGTGTATCGTCGTAATAGTTGTAGCAAAGATCTGTTATAGATAACGTTCAAATGATAAATATCTCGTATATTGAAGTTGCTCAGTCGTTTAATTCATATTTGCGTTCACAGCCGAAGCCGAATTGAGGAGACGAACTGGTTCCACTCACAGAAGTTCACTGGATCCTATCGCTGGCCGAGTGGTGAGAATTAAATATTCTTGATAATATGAATAGTTCGCTTTTGGACCGTATTATGCAAATGAGACATGCATTTTGTCTTGTTTTAATATAGATGATGAATTTCGCTGGGTTGCTAAGAAAGAACCCCAAAGATTCGGTAAGCATGTATCTGTGGTTTGTTTTTTCAAGGCAAAAATAACTTGTTGTTCAATTTAATTAGAAGCATAATTTATTCTACTTTTGAATATTTCTGAAAATTGTTTGTTGGTTTACCCACTTTCAGAAAACATTGCTAGATGGCTAGGAAGTCCAGGCGAATAAATATTTTACTGTGTTCAGGCTTGACAAGACGTTTTCTCATTAGGGTGATGCTCCAGTTCACGAAGAAGGCAAGAGGCGAGGAATGATCGAGTTTGAAATCTCTGATGTTGATCTGATTGTGAAACAACTCATCCACGACCTATCACCTGGTCAAGTCTCAGACCAGATCCCAGGCCTTCCTGCACATCTCTTGTTCATGTGTGTACGCTACTGTGATCACGTGAACGATGATGAGAAACTGCAGACGTTGCTGACGTCAGCTATCAGTGCTATCGGCATTATCACCAAGGTAACAGTGTGAAATATTGTGCATCCATCTCGCTTTTTTCGCGGCTTGTCGCTATATTATATGTAGAAGTCTTGCATTTAGTGGCAAATAGAGAGTGATGTATTTTCTTGTGAAGTGTCAACATCTTTGAATTTGAAGCACCAACTGTTAAGTTTATGTTTGTAGAAGTCTCCAAACGACTTGGATTTGTTAGTTTTCTGGCTGTCCAATACATGTCGCCTATTGCATGATTTGAAGCAATATAGTGGTGATAAGGTATGGAATTTTTTACTCACAATTGAAATCCAAAGAGCACCAAAATCTGGGATAAAACTAACTCTTATTTTTCTCCAGGCATTTCAAACGCACAATACACCGGAGCAGAACGAGCACTGTTTGAAGAATTTTGATCTCACAGAATATCGTCAGTTGTTGGATGATCTTGCTGTTCATATCTATAACGATATTTTGACTGCGATTAACGAGTCTATTCAAGGAAAAATTGGTAGGTTTATGTTTTGGCGTTGTTGATTGATGGTGGTGGTGATGATGGTGATGATGGTGATGATGATGGTGATGATGGTGATGATGGTGATGGTGGTGATGATGATGATGATAGTGGTGATGATGATGGTGGTGATGATGATGATAGTGGTGATGATGATGGTGGTGATGATGATGATAGTGGTGGTGGTGATGATAATGATAGTGGTGATGATGATGATAATGGTGATGGTGGTCATTAAAATACTGATGGTGGTGACTAATATCTGATATTCTCTTCCAGTTCCTGGTCTACTCGAGTTTGAGTCCATTCCCGCTGTCTCAAGTTCCAAGCCGTTTGGCAGGACAAACATGAGGCAGCGAACACGAAGTAACAATGAAGAAATCACTGTCAAGACAATCACGAAATACGTAAGTTAATGTGTTGAGTCTTATTCGCCTCCAGTAATATGCTAAATTTCTAGACTTCATCATTTGAAACATTGTGTTGTTTGTTTCATCAAAACCGCTCCATGTAATCAAAAGTTATTACAGTATTAATTTCTGAGTTTTTGCCGAAATTTTGGAAGAAAGACATTAAGTCTTGTATTGTTCTCCCTTTATAGTTATCGTACGTGCTTGCAATATTAAATACACACTGCGTTGATCCAGATATCATTAAGCAAGTGTTTCGACAGGTACGTGACAGGTTCATTGTATTTCCAATTGAATTGATTCTACTACCACATACAGTCAACATTATATTGTATTGAATACAGATCTTCCATTTCATTGGTGCGTCTATGTTAAACAATATCCTCCTTCGCAAAGATATGTGTCATTGGTCGCGCGGTATGCAAATTAGGTAAGAAATGATTATATTGCGTGATATTTTTTAAAGTTGAAAGGCTGTTTGGTAAACTACACGTTCTCACCAACGTGCCTTATTTCTTGAAGGTTTAATTTGAGTGTGTTAGAAGACTGGGTGCGAATAAATCAACTGGACAGCGGTAATATACTTGAAGGACTAAAATGTATTATTCAAGCTACCCAATTACTTCAAGTAAGCAAGAGCTCACTGGATGATGTTGACGCCATATGCGAAGTCTGCAGTTCATTGAACACTTTACAGGTGGAGTATACTCACTTTATCTATACAGGATAGATTTATCACTCTTAAAATGTTGCTCTTCTTAGAGATCCAGTTATCACTCCAAGTTTACTACTGGAAGAACCTCCAGTATTTCCTGCGATGTTTAGTTACTGACATACTTCCTTCTTTCAGGTCCAGAAAATACTCAGTATGTACACGCCATCAAACGACCGGGAGGCCAGAGTACCAGCTGCGGTAATCCGTGCAGTCGTACAGCGGGCGCATAATGAAACTGACCCTATGTATTTAATGGTGGATGCGAACAAGACATATTCTGTGTCTTTTGCATTCACTGCCTCTGCGGTTTCGTTAGAAAATATAACAATTCCCGATTCCATAAATAGTAATTCTTTTAAAGTGGTTTAATGAAATGGCGGTCTGTTGTGGGGCTTGGTAGAGATGCGGTGTGATATCCACCATGTCGTTGGCGAGGTTTCACTAAGTGTTTATACATCAGATGGTGCTCAACTTCAGAAATGCTTACAAGGACAAAAAATGAAACTTCTTTTTCAATTCTGATTTATTTCCAAATACAAGACTATCGCATATCATGAAAAGAATTGTCATTTTCTCACTCTGATAACTGCAGGTTGACCATCATCTGCCATCTGCACAATACTGATTAGTGAAACCAGGATAAGTTGAACGTAACATTTTGCCAAAGAATAGAAAATATACAATCATTTTAATTGATATGCATACATCTAAATTAACTGAACAAACACACGCTGCTATCCTGACAAGGTGATTAACAGACCAGAAACGTTTATGACAAAATGAGAATTGCTTTCGTTCATTATTTACTTTGTACAGAGTTTCATAGAACATTATTTTGTAAAGATAGTTGATTTAATATAAATTAGAAATGTGATAATTTATTAGAGAACTAATTAAGAAATTGAGTAGAGGATATCATGAATTGATATTAAAGATTTGCAAAGAAAGTATTCTATACGATTTGTTGTTTTGTATTGTGGTTAAAAGCAGGAAAATGCTTTTGACAAACATGAAAGTTTTCTGTGAAAATAGGCAATGTTTGTATCTGATACTGTTCATTTTAGATGCCACCAACGGTATTTCGTAGTACAGTATTGATTGAGACCAGTTTCTAAATAGGAAAACGAGAACTTTTGCCCCTCCCCCCTTGCAGATGGAAAAATTACATCGTAAGGGGAAGACACTTTAAAAATATCAGGGGGGAGAATGGGAGATAACCACTAAATAAAGTTCTGAAGATTCAAGATGGTTGTTTTGAAAGGAGTTCCGCGTATTTTGTCTCCACAATTGCTGTTTGCCATGAGTCGCATGGGCCACGGAGATGAACTGGGTATGTTTTAAATACAATTATGATTTATAATATCCAAAAGTTTATATAAAACTTTCTAAACTTCGGGAGTTTCAAACAGTCAAACACGGAGGTTGTCTGTCACGTGCTAAATTTTGTCCAAAGTTATCTAGTCATTGCAATGTTTTTAGGTGAAACTGCACTATATGTGCAGCTATTAAAGTTCTTCTGAAAAAATCTGTTGCAAACTCTTTATTTCTGTTACTTGGACTTTATAAAATATGGTTTCTTTTACAGTTTTGGCAGATGTAAATTTTCCATCCAGTTCTGTCTGTAGAAGTGGTCCAGAAGAGATCAGAGCTGATGGTAAATATAAAACGTTACCTCACTATGCCTTACCATACTCTACCATTATACCATGCTACCATATCACACCATATTCCACCACCATGTATACTATACCATAACACAGTATATGTTCTATCATATACCATACCACACCATGTGGTACCACACTACCAACATCATACAATACTACCAAACCATACTCTACCCCAACATACCATACTATACTACATAAATCATACAAAACCATGCTACCAAGTATCATGGTCTATTTTAATACAAACATTTTCAACATTAAGGTCATGGTATTCCAGAGTTACTTGAAGCAATCTTGAAGTTTTTCCCTCTGGATACTTATGTTAAAGAACCTGTAAGTGTGCTGCACTAAAAGTAATTTACATGAGGGAAACCATTTTGTGAATTCAGAGTACAAAATTTGCAGCAAGCAATTGTATTTGTATATTCCAGGCTCTCTTGATGCAAGTTACTCCAAGTGATGTTGAAAAGGGAATGAAATCTCCCGTTGTTTGGGACAAGTACAAGGAAATAATAAACACTGCTGAAGGGCACCAGGTACATGACATTTTCATGTTGCAAATGAAGCAACCAAAGATTACATTGCATGCGCAAGTGCAAGAGAGCAGTTACTCTGCACTCTTAGGCCATGACTTTCTTTCTCTTTTGTAAACTGAAATAAAGGCCTTGATTTAAACTTCTGTTGTCTAGATTTCAGTTGGAACAATTGAACGATTTGCATTCTACGAACGAGCAAAGAAGTCATTTGCAGTGGTTGCTACTGGGTAAGTGTTATCTTGATGATTGTACTTTTTAAAAACACCAGAATATAATGTATAGTCACCAGATGTAGTTGAAGTTAGCACTAGTGGCCTGTATCAACATCAACCACCCATGCTCAAGACCATATTCACCATGCATTCTGAAAGCATGAATACTTGATTTATAGCTTTTTTTACCTAATTTTTTGTGGCAGAAGAACCTTTGAAATATCAGCACCCATGCATGAATAGGCTTTTTCTTATATAGGGGTGCACCGGATTTGGAATTTTGATTTGAATTTACCAGATTTGGACAAAAATTCCGGCCGGATTTGCCAGATTTGAGATAAACCGGTAATGGGAACAATTGGGGATAAATCAGTATTCAAAATGGCGGTTTATGTTTTTTACTATTTTTAGTTAGTGTCAGTTTAGATTTGTGTTTAAACCTTTGATTGTGTTTAAACCTTTTTTAAATATCTTTTTGTTAATAACTTAATATTTTAAAATAGTATAAGTTTTTTTTAAACTTTAAAGCTGCCAAATTGATGGTTTATCCCATTCTTGGTGAATTTTTTAAGGTGAAAACAGAAATTTAAATCCTGCCGGATTTTCTCCAAATCCGGCCAGATGCCGGAAAATTTGTTAAATCCGGCCAGAATTCCAGCCGGATTTCAAATCTGGTGCACCCCTATTCTTATATTAACTAAAACATGAAAAAACAATTTATGTGATATCAAATTTTACACACAATGTGCAATACAAATTGTTGCCAAGCTAATTAAATTTCATGTAAAATTTACATTGTGAATTCTTGCTAAAATTGTCCCTAGTATTGGTAGTGTCTGTTAGATCAGTGGTAGTGCCCTAATATCTGCAAGATGCAATTAGTCTGATAGCAGGTTTTGTGTTTCTCTTGTAGAGAGACAGCCTTGTATGGGAACATTATTCTTGTTAAAGGAGCACTACCACCTGAATAAGTCTGGAAAATTTAAATTATGACAATCTAATAAGTAGAACAATATGGCAGATTGTATCATGCAAACTCGATACAGACCATAATCCTAGACCTCCTTATCTATGTTTTTGACTTAGTTTATGCAAGAAATCAGGGTGTTAGCCAGAAGTAAAAAAAATCTGTGTTTACCTGAAATTGGGAAATTTATTTTGGGGGCATGCGGTTGCATCCTCTCGATTTTTAAAATTTTTGTGTCTCTGAAATGGCATTTCCCGCATTTTGGGAGTAATTTTGAGCAAATGTAGTAATAAACATGTTTTTAAATAATGGCGTATTAACAACATTGAATTTCTATAACTATTTTTTGGCTGACCCAAATTGGGAAATTGCGACCTCAAGGTAATTGGGAAAACTGTGTTTAACACGGAATTTTTTACAGTGGCTAACACCCTGGAAATGGTCGGCTCATCACGTGTATTTTTGCCAGATCAACCAATTAATAGCTACGTTTTTAATTTAACCAGTAATATCACAACTAGGTAAATAAACCAACCATTTCCTGCATAAACCAAGGCAAAAACATCGATAATGAGGTCTATTACGTTTGCATCGAGTTTCCTGACCTTCTTATATATTCTATTGACTATGGTAATTGTTAAATGAGCTTAATTTTTCTGTTGATTTTAATTCATTTCTTGCAAATTATAAGAGATTATTCCCAATAATAACTATGTATACAAAACATCATCTAACATGCAACGCTACTATTTTTTGTTATAATAATACAACTATAATTAACTCTCTATCAGTCGTGAATAAAGTGTACAAAACACACAGAAAACAGTTTTAAGTGAAGTATCTTAGCATAGTCTACTATTTTATAAATACTCTGTTTTTAAAAGTGGGGAAAGCAGGCAGTTTTTATCAGTTTTCTTTCAGCTTTCTTGATCAGTGAAAAACTTAGCAAAAACTCTATGGGTAGACCTTACAACCGCCCCCACTCCAGAATGATTCGAGTCTCGTTTGCGTAGCGTAGCCTCATGCTGTGTTAATGATGGCACATCTTGATGTCACGGTTCGTTGTAGCTATTATGAAGTATCGATGTTCGTGGCCGCTGAACCAGGAGGCGCACCTCCGGGGGACAACTTCGTAGGATGGATAGAGCTTCCTATATGAGAAAGAACAGACAGTGATTTATATTATAAGAAAAAAACGATTTCAAAACAATATTTTTTCTGTAGCCAAGTAACACTGAGTGAACTATTAAAACTAACAATACCTTGTATGTCAATCGTTCTAAACTATTTCCATTTACCTGAAAAAGAAAAGTCAAAAGATGCAAAAGCTGTTATATTTCCTCAGATATGAAGATTTATTATAGAGCAGAGAGTGAGATACTGAAAAATACACAGTGAGATATTTTTCATATCTTTACTAGTGAAGATATCGATCACGTGACTTTCTCCAATTTGCTTTTGAGCGTGAAATTTCACAATTTTTTGCTTGGGACTATATAGTAAACACAACATTACACGGTGGCTTGAAGATATGACTGTTATCTTCTCGTGTTAAAAATATTGTTTTCACCACTCGAAGATAAAAGTCGTATATCTTCGCGCCGCCGTGTATCCTCTATTATTTATAAATATTATTTTGACGTCCTTACTTGTAATAAAATGTCTCCAACTTCCAACGCTCCGCTCATAGCAGACGGTCCCCCCGGGATAAGACTTTTGATGCATATAGGACCTAGGAAAAGAATAGCAAAAACAGGGTAGAACGATAGTTCTGCAGGGGGGGGAGGGTAATTTTACAACTTACCATGTTGACCACCACCAACAAGACTCATCCCCAGTCCTGTCGCTTGCTTGTGAATGATCACTTCAAAAGCTTGTCTAACGTTGTCTGTCTCGTCTGAAACGAATGAACATTTCTGTGTCAACTTTGCCCTGTAACCCACCGAAAATAACTTCGCCTTGGCCATTCAATTTCGTTTTGATGATTGAAACATCGGCTTTAGAGACCTTTATCTAGTTAATGCCTGGCTTGCACTCTCAAAATTTCTGTGATCACAGTAGGAATTGTGCATGAGTAAATTCTAAGTTTTGAAAGATTTGTAAGAAATGTTTGAAGGAGCTGAAGTGGTAAATCAACTCGGTGTTGAACCAGTTAACCTCGATCATCAAAACGAGGCCGTATGACCAAGACAGCACTTTCTGGGAACGGTGTATTTCTCCAATATTTCCGAGGTGATTTGTATTATTTTCGATGCTCAATAGATAGGTTCAGCTTTTGAATTCCACTACCGTTATCATCAACCAATCAGATGAATTTATTCTACCCAATTAACCAATCAAATGCGTGTTAATCATGTGAGAGGTGGTGGTAGTGGAAATCTGTTGGCAGAGCATTGGGCTAGCATTCCAAAGGTCGTAGGTTCGAATCCCACCGTGGCCAGGCATATTTTTCAAGCCTGCCCGGTGTGGATATACACTCAGAGTAACATCACACAAGCAAATAATAATTTATGTTTACCAAGTGTTTGTGAACTCCGTACGCTGGTCATCGAGTCTGACATGGCGTCATAGGAAGGTTCACATTTATCCACGACCATACGCACGCTTTTTCCCGCGCTTCTCATCACGTCTACAGCCTGAGAATAAAATGTCACAATCATGTTACATGATTTAATGAAAAATTGTTCTTTTTAATCGCAAATCTTCCGTCACAATGTGATGATCTGTGTTGAGTTGTGTGAGACCTACCTGTTGTCTCGTAACTCCAATAAGACTGACAGCATTCACACATAAAACACGATCACCTATTGTCGAAAAATATTCACATAAATCTAAGAAGAAGCACTGGGGCTATAGGGGGGAGGTACAACCCCCCCCCCCCCCAAGTCATCAAGTAGTCTGCAAAATATTGAATCCCAGTCGGCAAAACATGGATTTGGATTCGAAGAAAAAAATATATATTTGAGTGACACCGACCTCAATTTTACCTTTTTCGAGGACTTGCATTAAACAGTCACTAAATGTACTTGTGGGGTGTACAGTATTGCTTACCGACTGATATTCGACCATCCGCTGCAGCTGCACCATTTGGATTGATTGTTCTCACGTAGATGCCACCAAGTTCTACCCCACCCTGGAATGAAGAATATCAACAACGTGTAATGGTTAAAATGCTAATCAATTGACTAAGTTGTATCACGTATTCTTTTATTTATCTGTCTTGTTTATCTCAGTTACAGATGGACTTTCGCCAAGTCCTTCTCGATCACTAAAGACGCCGTTAAAGCTAGGGAAAATTCTGAGGCGGACCTACGGCACAGAATGCAGTTGATGAAGAAGAAAATGTTTCGTTGAACTTACCACGACACTCAGACCAAGACTTTGTTGTTGTTTTTCAATCTCCACCAGAATGTTGGTTGGCTTAAATCAGATAAATACATATTAAACATGAGAATGGAAACTCTGTTAACTAAAACAAGGTAGGTAACAAGACTTGTTGGTGGCAAAATCTAATCTTTACCCAGGGTTCAACTGCTGGTACATTAAGATATCTGAAGAAGCATTGCCTAAGGCCCGGCCAGACGAGAATGAGAGCTCTGGCAGTCATGCATTGTTACATGGGACATTTCAAGCTCTAGATTAACAAAATAAAGGTTTGATGAATGTTCCAACTATGTTTTAACTTAACGTAAAGTCCGTAATACAAACGCTTTGTTTACATTTTGAACTCAGTGCTACAGTTGTAAAGTATGATTGGATATATATTAATATACTGAATTTTTTAACACTCTTCTGGTTCGCTATGCTTGTAAATGAATACAGACTAGAGATTCGATTCAAGAAAGTTCGGAAGGTGCGAAATATTAACAACATTACAATCATCGGGTCCTGACCATTGGAATGCGCAGAACGTATGCGCAGAACGGACTTTACATCAACTTTAAATACAATACATGATAGTGTTGGGAAAGCATTAAGAACAGCTAAGCAAGGTCACGTGACTGTCAACTCTCATGCACTCTCACGTTTGATTTGGGGTTAAGTGTATGAAACTTTCCATACCGATGATTTTAATATTTCCTGCTCAATGGACATCGCCTTCTCGTCGAGTTGTACTCCAGCGCCTTTATATCGCTCCAATATGAATCTTACAGTGTGTGATGCTGCGCGTAACAACTGCACCGCTTGTTTTCTATTATATTGCTCTAAATTCATGCCGTTGATTTCTAGAACTCGGTCACCTGAAAATGAAATAAATTGGAAATATCAACAATTAAGTTCAAAGCAAAAAGGTAAAGATGTAACTTATCTACAATTAAAATAGTTTGTCCCGTTCAATCAAGTTGCCAGTTGCCTCCCACCCTTGCCCCTATCTCGTATGCTTATGGTAAGAATGTAGACTGGTGAGACAATGATCTATGACCATACCTACGAGAATTGACCGAGTCTGTTCAGCGGCACCTCCGGGAAGTAGCGATTTTACAAATATACCTCCAATTTCAGGACCGCCCTAAAAGATATAGTTGACATTTGAATGAAAGATGCCTAACCATTCCTACTAGATATATATATACCTTGGCTATAGAGCCTCGATTTCGTCATCGAGACGTTGGGCTTTAACTAATGTCATATACACGAAAACGAGGCTCTATACCCAAAGTGACATTGTTTCCGGAAGCGTGTATTGATTACATGATCGATAATTGATTACATGATCGATAATTGATTACATGATCGATAGTTGATTACATGATCTATTATTGATTACATGATCGATAAACTAAATTTTGTTTTACCGTTAAACTGATCCCAAAACTTCCGTTCAGTTTTGGCAATTCAACCGTCAAGCAAATCTGTAATAAAAATAAGGTTATTAATAATTAAATAGGACAATACTTTGACAGCGCAATCATTTCTAAAATGTTCTTCCTACGACGATATTTGATAGAGTCAAACTGGAAGGACTCACGAGGTAAAATTATAATCTTGCATGCATGAAAGCCACATAAACAAAGCGCTATGTCAGCAACAAGAAAGCTTTGGTTTGATAGGGATACAACTACCTGAAAAATACAAGGAGAACTTCGTAGTTCTCAAAGCTCAGTCGGATTGATAGGTAATGGACCTATTACCTAATGAACAACATTTTGATTTAGACAAGTGTAAACAAAGATTTTATCACAGCTTGAAAGAGCGTCACAAAATTAGTAATATTCCGAAGTTTCGTTGCGAAATGTTGTAAAATGCGGATAATATAGCCTTGCGAAGTTTGCCGTTTTTCAGTCATTTTGTATTACGCACGGGAAATTGATACCTTTTCAGAAAGCGGTATCAATTCATTGTATCCCTATCCACGGCTTTGTTATTATTGCCACTACCTACACTGGCACAGACAACACTATTGCTTTAAGTATTTCAAAGATTTAAGAATCCTTTACCGGTGCATCTTTCTCAGATCTCTTCATATTATTGATATTTCGGAACGTTAGCGGTAGTTGTTCGTTCGATGCACTGCTGATGCGGTTTCGAGAAGCAATAGATGAAAGCGACGAGGCATCGCCAGTTTGCATCTTGAGCGTGACTGCAGTGGGACCACTTCGCAGTAACTGCACCACCTGATCAATGAGAAACAATCGCAGTTATGTCAATAGAAATATGTCAAAGGATGGTCTTTAATCTAACTAACAATCGGAAAGAAATTAGGTGTGATACAAAGTAGAGTTCATACACGTTATTTAAGAAATTATTATGATTTGACATGTTCCGGCAAAACTTTAATGATTTTGGACAAAAAATTATCATAACAATATTATTTGTGTGGGAGAAAAGTCATTAAACAGTAAGATGAATACAGTAAGTTTCTGCCATTCAATTAACCAGCTCATTTTCTTTGATGATATACGCAAACAATACAAGTCTGAACAGGTTCGAGTTTATTTACATTCTGTAACTATCAAAATTTCTGAGGTTGACTACGATCTAAGTTTAAATTTTGGGACGAAGCATCACTATTAAGTGAATGTATACCAGTCTGAAGTCACTTACAAATTTTGCTATGAATACTGATAATTATTGTAATGTAATCTGAATATTTTGACTCAGTCATATAGACTACAGTGTGCATTTAGCAATCTGAATAAGTCCAATGTGAAACCACCCATCTTGATACTGGTTTGATATTTGTAGGCAATCAGGGGGATAACAACTTTTATATCGTTAAATGGTAGCATTTCCCATTATTTTATTAATATATTATATATAGTATACATTACCTCTTGCCTGCTTTTATCTCCTATAGATTTTCCATTGATTTCTAAGAGCTTGTCACCTTAAATATATTAGATTAGTCTTCCTTAGTGTAAGTTTCAAACGGAGAAATTTTGTTCAATGGCAATGTAGATGTTACAGAATTCAACGATCAAATTCCATTATTCATCTAATTTGATGATTAGAACGACAGGATTAGATGAAACGATTAGAACATTCAAAGTCAATTATTCATCTAAATTGATGATTAGAACGACCGGATTAGATATTCAATTATTGATCTAAATTGATGATTAGAACGATTGGTTGGAACGATTAGAATAATGGACCAACTTACCCACGAGCATTTTTCCCGATTTCGACGCCGGACCGTTTGGTGTGACAGACTTTAAGAAAATCCCTCCTTCTTCTACTCCGCCCTGTGAGAGTGAATGAGTGAAGATGCATGACTTGCGCTAATGAGTGGTTTGTGGCATATTCAGCGCTATCTTCGCTTGCTCGCGGCTAACCTGCACAGCAGGCGTTTATTTGCGGGCGGCGGTGAGGAATAAACCTCCAGATAAACGCAGGTTAGCTCGCATAGGGAAGAAAAGCACAGCTAAGAAATCATCCTAGTAAGAAGTCATCTTACTAGGCAAGCTAGCGCTGTCCTGGTGCTGTGCGCAAGACAATGAAAGAAAGAACACATCTTACCATCACATTAAAACCAAAACTGCCGTTCACTTTATTCAGTTCGATCTGGTAATTATTGCCCTGACAAAAAAATGACACATCTCATTAACTGCACTGGAGTGTATTTGGCAAGAGCTGCCTTGATAGAGTAGTATAGCATAGTATGAGCATACCAAGAGATGGTTGACAGCAGATCCATTGGTCTGAGTGCTATCTGTCGAGTCTCTCTCAATTCCGTTGTTTGTGTTGCCAACACAATTTGTTGGAGCTGAAAGGAGACGAAAAAATATACACTTATGGAATAGGAAAATCAATCTTTTTTACAGTTTTTTTTTTTTTAATTTTTTCTGTTCATTATGAGCTTTGGGAAGCATTAATGTCCCGATTGAGTGTGCATAAGAATTGGTTGAAATTCTTGCATAAAACTACAAACAGTCTTTTAGAGTAACGAAGTACATTATCAACGCTGTATTAATCTTATATACTCAAACTACTTACTGTCAATGGAGGGATTATCTCTAAGATCAGTTAAACTTGATTCCATCGTACATTGAAATTTGTAGAAGTCTGTGCACATGCGCAAGAGATACCGAGATCTGCAAGAGGGGAAGGTCAATCAATTAGAAACTACAGTGATTCGAGAATTCCAAGATTACAATGGAGTCGTCTTACTGTTTATATCCACTTGTGAATAACGTAATTTTTTCCGTCTCTTTCGTTCCCTGAGCCTCGACAAAAAATCTCCGTTTCTAAAATAAAAAGAAAGACATTCTTCTCACAAAATTTAGGAAGAAAAGAACTTGAGTATTGTTCATAATTAATTGATTATTTTCAATTAGAAACATGATTAATTAATTATGAACAGTTTTAATTAGAATTATTTCTAATTGATTCATTAATCATGGTTGTCTTACGTGAAAGGCCATTCGCTTTATGTGTTGCCAAGGATGGCGGAAGACGGGAGATTTCATGAATCCTCGCTCCTAGAGTGAAAAATATTTACTTGTAGAATTAAGGAGAAAAAGAATCTTATCCAACATGTTTTCTATTGTAATGTTTAATATTTCTCCATATAATGACGTACTTCATAAACCAGCATTCCTCGGACACATATCCCAAGACTAAATCCACCTCTTCTGTCTTTCTTGAACTTGGAAACCTTGTGAAATAAAACGCCATACTCCTGCAGTTTTTGGGCTTCCTGCAAATGAGAAATTTTCCATTATTTAATAGTAGAACTTGGAACGATTATATAATTAATTAGAATTTTATCATTAATTAGAATAGTAGAACTTGGAACAATTATATAATTAATTAGAATTTTATCATTAATTAGAATAGTAGAACTTGGAACAATTATATAATTAATTAGAATTTTATCATTAATTAGAATAGTAGAACTTGGAACAATTATATAATTAATTAGAATTTTATCATTAATTAGAATAGTAGAACTTGGAACGGTTTTCTCGAGGTATTCTGCTTTCCTCCTGTAGTAACACTGGACCACTATTTTTCAGAACTGATATAGAACTATCCAACACAGCGCTTGTACATTTCCATTACAGAACCGGATGTACCTTTAAGAATTCGATTTCCGCCTGGGCGTCCGTCAAACCACGATTAGAGTGATGCATCTTGGGAAGCTGATGACGTATTTGCTCAGGAGTCAGTTTCATAATAGCCTGAATAAATAAGGTAGGTAGGAATATTTAGCTGTCTTCATTTGCTCAATGATCAATAGCTTGCGCTTTCCAGTCAACGTATGAGACCAGCTGTCACTCACCCGTTGAGGTAGATATTTCTCTGGTGCAAAATACAGCGAGCTTGGGCCGCCTGTGTTGGGTTCATTGATCTCAGCTTGCAAAGCGTAAGAGGCGAGTAGTAAAGCCGTCTCTTCATGGACATAAACATTTCCTTCTAAAACGTCTTTTCTCAGTTGAAGGTAGTAAAGATGCCGCGTTATTTGTTCTCTAGAAACAAAATTTTAAAATTAGATAAAGTGCGTTTCAAGGATTGTGCACCCGTTCTATAACAACACTGGATCAATAAGAGCTGGTACTCGCTGGACCTCTAGGGAGAACAGTTAAGAACTGTTAGAGCTATCCAGTATAAATCAAGTTCGAGGTATTTTAGACCTACCTAAGCAGACAGATATTCTCAACGTAATATTTCACACGGAAGAACATGGTAAACATGAGAGAAGAATTGCGTGAACTCTAAAACATAAAAAGTTTACCATTCAGCAGACCTTCTTTGACACCAGCCTTTGAGGGAATGCGACTACCTTGTATAAATAATGTTGATTTACTTTTATCGTAATACTTACATCATCTCTCCAGAGATTTGGGGCAAATTTTGCCAGCTTAGAGACTCTGTCATCTAAATTAACAAATTCTTGTTCTGACTCTACAAAAACGAGTTGATATCAAACATGAGTCATGTAATGATATTTGTTCTAATTACTCAATGAAGAATTGAGACCCTTAATTAATGGAACGTATTCTAATTATTCTGATTATTGAGTGAAGAAATAAATACCTTTAATGATCATAAGACCAAAATACCAAGTTTCTCGAAGTGCGACGTGTTTAACGACATGATTAAATAAATCTTGCCCGATCGCATTTTTCTACAAGAACGATAAACGTGAAATTATATTACCCTTTAGCTGACTTTGTTTCGAATAGATGCTTTCCAAAAACTGTAACAATTAACCCCAGTGGCAGTCATTAAGCATGCTCTGATTATGCTTACCGGAATTCTGACGTTGAGTCGTTCTCCTTGAAGCAAGATAACTGTCACAATCTTCTCACCCTCCCCGATCTGAAGTGGAAACACAATACAACTGGAGGAACTGAATGAAAGAGAATACAGGGGGGGGGGGTTGCTTAGAATGGAACGGGAAAATTGAAAAGTGAATGAAGTAGGATAGAATGAAAAAGACTGTAGTGGAATTGAATTATAATAGTTAATTTATCCATCTTTAGTGTAAAAATACAATGGTTTACAGTTAGCAAATTCTGGCTAAGTTATATGTACAGAATAGAATTGGAAGGAATGTCATGTAATGTATTCTGTCCAGTTTCTACAATTTGATGAAATAATTGAAAAATATTTTCTCTTCCTCCCAGAAAGCTAACAACAAAAGTGACGGAAAGAAAATTACGATGCAAAGTGCCAAAACAAAGAATTTAAAGTAAGTGAAGCAAATGATACTAAATCCAAACAGTGACATTTTAGTTGAAATATAAACCTACCACTACTGGCTGTGACATTAGTTAAGTGACTACATCACATATCCTGATTATCTCCTCTCACAAATATTCAATTTGTCTTGATATCAGAGAAAACTTGCAGGCTTTTTCGGTGTTTACATCTCTTGCACGGCAACTTCCCACTTGGCAGATCTAAAATTTTAACGTAATATTCATTTGAATAGTGAAAAATAATTCTAGAAATTAAAACAACTTTAAAAGGTAAATATGAATAGACATGTCGTCATTTCTGTGAATAAACGGTCATAGTTCCCGCTGAGACAAAGGGATGTATTACCAGGGGGTAATAAGCAGGGGTAATAACGTTTTAGACAATTTTAGTTCTTAATGTGAAAACATATGGAGTTAATTTTATTCTGCGTGGCTAGCCACAAGGCGACCTTTAACAATAATGACTCATCAACACGAAGTAATCTTGTGATATGAGTCTTGCAGTAATGTCGGGCCGTTCATTTGTTGAACTGCCACATTACAGTTGTAAGTTTAACACGATGAGACGGTTTTGTTGTTTATAACGCTGATTTGCGTGCACCATCACTCTGATCTTTGTGTAAAGTTATAGATCGTTTCAAAACGAACAGTGCATCATGGGTAATATTGGCAAAATCGAAAATAAAATGACATTGGTTATTAAAAAATATATAAACGTCTTCGTTTAAAATTAATTGCCAAAGTCTTTGCACGATCGAGGTTGACAAAACTACTCGAGATTCGCCATTTTTTTAAAAAAAATTGAACCACTTTTCGTGAATTCTTGAGACATGCATTCGTGAACAGTAAATCTACATAATTATGAACTTTTTTGCTTGGGAACTTATCGTGCAGGTCAGACGGTATGACGACTCGGTTAGAGTAATTTGGTTAGACAACGGCACGCAATCTCAAGGCTATACACTAAGAAAGAATACGAAGCCAATTTTGTAGTAATGTTATAAATTGATATGATCTATACCGTGCGATTTGATGTATAAACAAAGATCTATAGTTTTCATGCAGGACTTATCGTAAACCTAATATGAGTCAAAACGAGCTCTGTGCTCTCAGAATTAAAGCTAGGACTCTAAATCTAGTATTTCATAGCATTGTAAAATTGAAGAAAAATATAGAGGCCCGAGTAGGATGATCCCAACAAGACGAGAAATGATTATTAGCTTCCTGATCTGAATGATAACATGTACATTGCATCCTCATCTCAGGAGTCAGACTTTTGCTATGCCTCGTACTTAATTTATCTCGTAGATTTTCCTTGACAACTTAATGTATTTGTTCATGCATAGGACACACGTTTTTCCAAGTGTAAACATACTACTCGTGTCATTTTAGGACAAAGCAATCCAGCAAACATGTCAAGATAAACGTGGTCATTCGTGGCTCCATATGTTTTTATCGCCACTCATGATTTCAATACAATACACTTTGTCAGGCTTTTGTTTGCCCTCAGACCAATGGCAATGAAAACCAAAACGCCATAACAGCCGGTTCACTGCACTAATGCTAAACTTTAGTATCGGTGGGAAATGCCATATGTATTTTCACCATGAAAGCTTTCAAAATTTCTATATTTTTTGTTTCGAAATTTTTTTCAACGTCGTAGCTAGGGATTGCCGTATACACAATACAACTCAGAATTACAAAAGCACTTTAAATTTATTGTAAATTCATCTTGAATTTTCGCCTTTTTGAAATATTTCAATAATTTTGAAGGACCACGAAGCCTTGCATCTTTACAGAAATATTATGTAGTAATTGGATACAATTATATATCGCTACGTTTCGTATTTTATTCCCTAAAATTACCGCTACGGTTTTACTATATTTTATTCTTTCGATGTCATTGTTTTATTCATTTGTATTATGCTAAAATGAGTATTAAAACATAACAGAATAAGCTTACCTGAGCATAAAGCGATGTAGTAATTTTGAGTAAAAATCTATTTCGTATAATTGGCTTGGAACACGGTGTGAAGATGTAGTCCAACCGTTAATTCTTAACCGTTAAAAATGGTCGACTGCAATGGCAGGAAGTCCGTATTGAAAAGTAGTTTACACTGTTATTCAAATGATTTGCATATGCAACCGACAAGCTTGATGAATAATTGAATATTTTGAAGTAAAAAACGACCACCTGTCGTATGTAATATGAAAATGACCTTTGAAGTTTGATTTCGATTCGTTCAATTACAATGTTGATAAAAAAAATGTTTACAAACAATAGAATCGATTTTCTTTTTTGAATAATTGCGTTGAGTTCAATGTCTTTTAACGGCACATATGCTGTCATTGCAAGGCTTGACAATAGCGACTCAAAGTATTCCTTTAATCTACTACATTTTGAAATACAACGTCTGGAAATGCTTGGTCGATTATCGCTTTAAACTTTAACGTTTTATTGACGTTGGTTTTTGTTATCAAACATAGCTACAGCCGTTATGCGCTGAATTAACAGTCTCTGGGCCCTAAGTAATTCACGAGACAGAATTTCAGTTGCGATAGCAACTTGTAGTTTACTGTGTAGCGTTTATACGGTCGAATGATTGACTTATTTGTCAATGGAACAGGCCTTCGCGCGGATTTGATTTACCTTCTAAAGGCCGGTTTCCATTGCCCGCGCGGGCGGA